AGTCTTGAGGTAAACAAAGTTTGGATTTGACATTCCAATCCAAGTTATTGCTACAGTATTCTATGAATTTCAATTCTAAAGTTATTTAATAATGAATTTATAGAAAAAAAACAACTACTTATTTTATACTGCAGATATCCAGCAGGAGGTTTTCTTGTTTAGTTGTATATTTTTATAAATGTGTTGTGTGTTAGTAGTGGTACCTTGTGTCAGTGTGTATTTAGTGTGTTCAGAATAATGTGTTGTCATGTCTTCTCTCAGATCTCCACACTACGCCTGCCCAGAGGTTATCAGAGTAAGTGCTCTTCTTCCATCTCTGCTCTTTGTTCCTCCACCATTCACTGACATAAAGGCCCTCTCTGCACTCCTGCACTTCTTTGTTCTTTTATTTCAATATATGTTGTGAACAGCAGAGAAACCACCGTCACTCTGCTGATCTGTCTCCTGTAAATCACTCCAACACACCTGAAACTCTTCAGGTTCTGTAAGCTTTGCTTTTCTACAGGTCTGAAGATAGATTTGAATAAACTCTGGTAGTTCAGCAGCATGTGTGCTTTACAGAACAACACAAAGCTGCTGCACACTGATGCACTGTAACTCACCTGGGACTCACCTGGGACTCACCTGTAACTCACCTGTGACTCACCTGTGACTCACCTGTAACTCAGCTGTAACTGACCTGGGACTCACCTGTAACTCACTTGGGACTCACCTGTAACTCACTTGGGACTCACCTGTAACTCACCTGTAACTCACCTGTGACTCACCTGTAACTCACTTGGGACTCACCTGTAACTCACCTGTAACTCACTTGGGACTCACCTGTAACTCACCTGTAACTCACCTGTAACTCACCTGTAACTCACCTGGGACTCACCTGTAACTCACCTGTAACTCACCTGGGACTCACCTGTAACTCACCTGTAACTCACCTGGGACTCACCTGTAACTCACCTGTAACTCACCTGTAACTCACCTGGGACTCACCTGTAACTCACCTGGGACTCACCTGTAACTCACCTGTAACTCACCTGGGACTTACCTGTAACTCACCTGTAACTCACCTGGGACTCACCTGTAACTCACCTGTAACTCACCTGGGACTTACCTGTAACTCACCTGTGACTCACCTGTAACTCACCTGTAACTCACCTGTAACTCACCTGGGACTATGTTTCTCTGTACATGTATTAAATGATGAACATCTGTCTACATCTGTGGGCTTCCTGTTTGTGTTTCAGGGGGAGAAATATGACGGGAGGAAAGCAGACGCCTGGAGCTGTGGAGTCATCCTGTTTGCACTTTTAGTGGTGAGGAATGTGCACCATCAGCTGAAACATGTGCTGTTGTCTGAACTGCAACATTTCATTTACACTCTGTGGATTCAGTTTGAGCTGCAGCTGCTTGTCTGACATTTCTACACATCCCTGAGGATCTGTGGCATCTGAGCCAAAACAGCCTTTTATACAGTGTGTTCTACAGGGAGGAAACAGAACCATTTATCCATCCATAAATCTATCCATCATCCATCATCCATCCATCATCCATCCATCCATTAATCTATCATCCATCATCCATCCATCATCCATCATCCATCCATCATCCATCCATTAATCTATCATCCATCATCCATCCATCATCCATCATCCATCCATCATCCATCCATT